GATTATATTATTCATTTCAACACAAGCTTCATGATTTTGGCCATCTTATTTATATTGGTAATCGTCCTATAACCGAAACAAGATGCATTAATGAGATTACTGTTAATAAATCTAATATATCAGCATATGCTGTTTGTAGATCACAGCTATCACAACCATTAGTATGCCCAAAGCTTTCTGAAGGAAGAATACTTATGAATACAAATCCAGATATCGTTCGTTGGGATAGTTTTGTATATAACGATTGGGGAAATGCATTATCACCTTATTGGCAAGCCCGAGGTGTAGCTTTTTTATGGGGAAGTTCATTTTCATTAACCCGATGGAACACTCCTGCTTGGATTGGATACCTTCCAATATCAGTCGAGCCTGTACCTTCTAATTCATGCGTCAAGGCTTATCCTAAACTACTTTTGCGTATGTGTAAAGATTCTGGACCCGATTGTAACATGTTGTATGCACATAAATGTGTTGGAGCATGGAATTACATTCGAAATCAAATACAACAGGAAACCAGAGCAGCATTGGAACTTTGGGCTCATTTAAACAACAGAAAGTTACCTGTTTTCAATCGTTCCGAGATGGTGGTTTTCGATCGCTGTGAACGAAATACGATGATTCATCATTATGAGTTTGGACCTGTGGGTTTTAGTGCATTGCAGTGCATTCCAAAAATAGTGAAGACTGTATATCGTGTGTACGCTAAAGACCGAACCAATTTCTATTGCGATGCAATACGTACAGCACACGCAAACTATTTGAGACAAACACGTCCAGATATATCTGTTATCCATTTTCCCGGTGATATATTGGAAGACTTCGCTAAACTCGTGTATGCTCCCTATGTGTTAGTTATGTATGCTGGATCATCATTCGCACTATGGTCAACTTTGGCAAATGTTGGTCATGTATGGATTCCACCAGTATATGGTGGTATGACGCCAGATGTCGGAAGTAATTATCATTGGATTAATTCGTCAATCTTGTACCCTCATATTGCACAGAAATTAAATTTCACAATACCAACTAACATGAATGAGACAAACAAGATTATCGAATGGCTAAGAAACAGATGATTGCAATAATCGAAACTCTACTTAACAACTCGTTTTCGTATTTGCATTATTCTACTTTTTAACTTTGAACCCTGATTATAATTACTTTGAACTTGTGAGCTTTTCGGAATACTTCTTTGAACTAAAAATCCTATACATTTGAAACAAGAAACATAATATTTTCATGCATCTTAGAATTTTTTCGAACCTTTTATTTACGATTACTGCTATGTCTTTCTTCGTTCTCTTGAGATTCAAAAAAAAAAGACGATAGCATGAACGTTCAAAGTAAAAAATGAATCAAAATCTGAAATGTTTATCTAGATGTAGCTCTTCATGACGGTGCTGACACATCACGTTGTGTCACAAAAAAATTCTCATACGTTTATGTAAATTATTTGCATCCTGTATCGCTCCTTTCTTGAGTCAAATTTAAAACTAGCCCTCTAGAAAACTGAAGATCATGAAAACATTATTTAGAATAATTCAAAATTACTGACAGAGGCACTGAAATTCCTTATGAGAAACTCAAACAAACTTTCCCTCTTTATATTTCCATAATGAAAATATTGCTATATTTTCCGAAATTATTTCATCATTCTTCGACTGGAATCATAATAACATAATTTTGATAAGATCGTTCTGTTATAATATGTGCGATTTATCTTAGATTCTTTTAATCTTCCATGTGTATCCTCTGAATAGTCGCTGATTCGAGGGTGTGGTTGGCTATGAGTGTGGGTGTGGGTTTCGTTTGTTTTCTGGTGTACCTACATCGACACCACATCCACGTTTCGCATCCACATCCACACCCACATCCACACCCACACCCACACCTACACCTACACCCACACATCCACACCCGCACCCACATCCACACCCACACTCACACCTACGCCCACACATCCACACCCACGCCCACACCCACACCCACACCCACACCCACACCCACACCTACACCCACACATCCACACCCGCACCCACATCCACACCCACACTCACACCTACGCCCACACATCCACACCCACACCCACATCCACACCCACACCCACACATCCACACCCAACCACACACCCAGAGGTGCATTTTTGTGGAAAACAATAGTTTAACAAAGTATTTGAAATATAGGTAGGTCTATTCAGTTTTGGATGAGGATTTAGAATATCATGTTAGTTTTCCTATTGAGTGAAAACTAAAAAAGTTATCAAGATATAACTCGTCGGTTTCTAGGATTAGGTTAACTAGATTACAATATGAAACCAATATCTCAAGAATATAGAAGAATTTCGAAAAAAGGAGAACGTACTTTTTTTCTTCTTTAGATAGCGATTCTAACCGTATGTGTCATATGATTATATCTGTTGAAATAAAAAACTAGATAGATTTACAAAGTCAGGCTTGAAGACCTTGGATACTCTTCAAGTCCATCGGATCCTGAAAATTGTTTTTCTTAACATTAGAGCTTTCAAATATAGTTTAAAATATGCAGTTTTTCATCCTGAATAAGAAAAAAATAGTTTCAACCTTGAAAAATGCATTAGAACCGATTTATTCTATTCAGAAAATTGTAAAACCAAAAAAAAATGATTTTGGAGAGACAGAAATTCTTGCAGTTTTCCGTATTCTTTTTGGTCAAAACTTGCACTGGAAATGTTTAAAACTATATATTCGTGATCAGCTCAAAAAGTTCTATCGGACGAACCGTAGGGAAGATCTTTGACATTCCAGTGCCAGATCCTTTCCAGATACGACCAGGATTCTGCAAGGCTTCACTCTGTTTCTCTGAGGAAACGACTAATTCCTGAAAGAAACATGTAGCCGTGAAATTCAAGGATCCTGTCAGGATTGGAAATAGGATTTTTCAAAGATCCTATCATATTGACTTCAAGATTTTCATAGGATCCTTTTAGGATTTTCACAGCTATAGTTAAAAAAGTTAGAATCCGCTCAGGACACTATTTGATTCCGTGATGTATGCCTTTAATTTTCCTGAAGGAGCCTGACAGGGTCTATTACGATTCAGCGTGTAATACTTTGTTAGTGTATAGTTACTAGTGTAGAACTTACCAGTATCATGGCATGATTGTGCCTGGATCGTTGCAGGATAATCTAAACAGAACAGAAGAAGGGTGAGTGTGGGTGTGTGTATGGGTGTGGATGGGGTGTGTGTGGGTGTGGGTGTGGGTGTATGTTGGTATGGGTGTGGGTGTGGGTGTATGTTGGTATGGGTGTGGGTGTGGGTTTTAAGTAGAGAATGATGTTGACACCGACACACCCACACCCACACCTACACGCATACCCACAGTAGAAATGTTTTTGGATTAAGACAGCTCATTGAGGATGGTTCTTTGTTAAAGAAACCTATACATCATGTCAAGAATGCAATAAATTATATTGAGAAGTTAACAGAAACAAAGAAGATGGTAACATTGAATAACTACATTAAACAAAAATATCGGGAATAACTTGTCTGTTTCAAGTTGTCGTCAACTATATCAAATGCGTAAATTTGAAAAATCTATGTCACCTCTTGTAAGCAGATTTATTTCGACTTTGACATAAATAAAGTTTCATAATCTATTAGTGTGATATTATACGACCATATAGTCTATAGAATCCATCAGGTCACACTCGAAGGCGCTTGAGATTTGGATGCAATTTCCACGGAAAGTCATACTCATGTATGCCATTCCTTAGCATTAATTTGACACTAAAGGATTACAACGTCAATTGGTTATTCTGAAACTGTAAGAGAAGTGTTGTATCTTTACGATTAATCAAAGCTTCATTTTTTATCAAGAAAAAAAAACATGAAATAAAATACAAAAATATGATCACCTACTAATTAAATAAATTCTTAATGAAATAGCTTTGCGTTGATATCAATCATTTTTTTGTTATTTCAGGTCTTTGTTTTATGGTTTCATTTCAAGCATTTGGTATAGTTACAAATTTAGAACAATCAGAACTTTTCGATAATAGTCCTCTTGTACTTATTCAATCTATTTCTTGATTAACATCACAAACATCATTTAGTCAAAATCTTTAGACATTAAATATAACACAATAAATATAAAAATTGAATCTCTATAATCTGAAAAAAGTTCTTCTATTTAGCTAACAATTAATAAATTAGCTAAATGTTTCGAAGAAAATATTCAACGGAATTTTCAAGGATAAATTATAATTGAAATTTATTGTATTTTTTCAAATAATTTTTTTAACTTGTACAGATGTTAAACATCGATCCTTTTTCTAAGTCGAATATTTCTCTTCTATCGATGTTGCAACAATTTCTAGAGACTTCAGTTATTTAACATTGAAACGAAGTATAAAACCAAATAATAATTAAAAACAATACTATACTTCATTCAAAGAAGCAACGGTAAGAATGAAAAGGTTTTGTTTTAATATTCAGCATTATATTTATGATGTTGACATATTGAAGAAGCTCGTGCAGGATCTCATACAAAATTCAATTTACAACTTGAAGATATTAGAAATTTAAAAAAAAAGGAACTTTTTATATATAAATAAAGAGCTCATCAAGAATAAAATACAAAGATACATTTAATTAAACCAATAAAATTTGATTTAAAAGTTGATAAATGTATTAATAATGATGATGCAACTTGATAAAGTGAAAAGAAAAGTTATTTCGATCTTAACTATTGAAAAAATCTTTATTTATTTATTGTTTCAAAGATTGATTGACATATTGATGAAAGATGTACTATGTCTTTATTGAACACTTGAGTCAATAGTTGCTAAAACAACATGTACGATTATTATTAGTTCAATTAGAACAAAAGCCTAATGATGAAAATCAAAAGCTAGTTAGTGTAAATAACTTGCTCTTACGTTACAATTAGAAGTACTTCTATCGATATTAAAATTTCAAGATTCCTTAATGAAATAATTACCATGAGATACACCAAAAATTCAAGCAAAAAAGGAAACGAAAAAAACAACAAGAACAAAAGGCTATTGAAGATAATAAAAATATCAAGAAAATCAGAAAAATTGTGAAAAATAACAGGTGAACAATCTATCCGATCATCATGAAGTCTCATTTTCTATTTTCAATATATTAGGAAAATGGCGTTGATCATTGCAGAATACATCTGAATCGAATAGGTCTTTACATCTTAAAAACTTCATTAGACTAGTGCTTCAATCCAGACTAGTCTAATTACTAAAAACACAAAGCTAATAGTTAGATTCGAACATAAATACAATATATTAACTTACCCATTACATAATCAATTGAATTATATATGATCGAGAGATTACCTGTAATATGTCATGTATATTCTAAGATACTCTTTAGAAATTTTGCTTGCAGTCTTCAAGTTGTAATATGAAAAAAAAAACACTTATCATAAAATTCATGATTATCTAAACAAGTTTTTTATCTTTTTCAAGAAAAAATTTACTAAACGAAACTTCAGGAAAACTGTTTTATATTTGAAAACAACTATTAACATTGAGAAAAAGAAAACAAATGAATCCGTAGAAAAAGATATTTTGCATTTTATGATTTGTATTCGTTATAATTCGAATTCTTTTCAATTAAAAAAGAGCTGAAAATATATAACTTAAATTCACCCTTAAATTCAAATTACTAGATTCGATATTTAAATAAAATATAATTCTCATATAATGACATTAAAATTATTTTTCAGTTAGAATTATTCCTAGGCTTTTTCACAATATAGAAAGTTTCAAAGATATAAATATACAATTTTCCTTAAGATGTTCACCACTAGGTGTGAGTGATGGTTTGATTTTGGTATGCAGCTTTGGCTGTGACCTGTGGGTGTCCGTGTACTGCACAAAACAGCTCAGTTCATACATTCACATCCAATGCACTTGTGTCGTTTTTGGGTATGACTCAGAAGGAAACTTTTATTTTATTCGCACGTACTACATTATTCAGTAGTCGATGGTATGAAACAATACATGTTACTAATGACTAACAAGAAGATGTAATTTGTCGAGCATTGCGGCACTAATCAGAGTATTGTTGCGACAAATAGGAGAAATGTATGAAGCAAGTGCATGTGATCAAGTTTCACTTATGGTATTATTATCAAACAAAGACGAAGTTTTGTTGAGTTAAAAAATTTGATATTGCATAA